GAGTTACAGACAGTTGTTAGCTGCCATGTGGGTGCTGGAATTCTAACCTGGGTCTTCTGCAAGAACAACCAGTATTCTTAACCACTGAGCCATCTCTCCAGCCCCTCTTTTTATTTTTTATGTATGAGAGTTTTACCTGCATGTATACCTATAAGTGCCTGCAGAGGCCAGCAGAGGGAATTGGATCCTCTGGAACTGGGTGGTTGTGAGTTGCCATGTGGGTGCTTGGAACCGAACTGGGGTGCTCTGCAAGAACTATCTCTCCAGCCCCTTAATGAAGGTTTTTTAAGTAGATTTTTAAAGTGGCTATCAAACATACTGTTTTTATTTCTTGTGTCATTCTAGATTATTTTCCCTGTGAATTTGTCTATTTCATCTAAAATTTCAAACTTAGTATAAAGTTCTTCGTAATCTCTTAGGATCCTTTTATTTTGACATAATATTAGATTTTATGAAGTTGTGAAACTAGAGTAAGTAACTTTTGCCAGGTCAACAAGAGCAAGCTCAACCAAGATTTCAAGTCCCACTACCACGTGGACCTGTTGTTATCGCTCTCCACTTTGAGCTAGCTTTTGCTTATGATCTCAGGTATTGGTCTCAGGGGTGAGTGTTTTGTAGTTTTGTGTGTGTATGTGTGTTGGCAACTGGTTAAATTATTTTAGCACCACTTTTTGGAAGAGTGTTCTTTCTCTTCCTGGCCTGGGGTGAGGGGTTACTAATCCTCTAACTTTTCATAGTTGCTCTTGCTTGTTTAGGTCCTTTGCATTTCTGTATGAGTTCCTGAATCAGCTTCTCAGTTTCTACACACACACGCACACACACACACACACACACACACTCATACACTCACACACTCACACACACATGTGGACATGTGTATGTATGCATGTGGTCTGCTTGGATTTCAAGATTTAGTTGATTCTGTGTATCAGTATGTAGAGAATTGATAATACAAGTCTCCCAAGCCATGAAACAAGATATATCTCTCCATTTATGTAGGTCTTTAGTTTTGCAACCGTATTTTGTAGTTTTCAATGTGCATATTCTGCATGTCTTATGTATATAAAATTGCTATGTACTTGGAAATGGAATCTTTCAGTTTTAACTTTTGATTATCCATTGCTGCTATATAGAAGTGGAGTTGATTTTTTTAAAATATTTCGTTTATTATTTTTGTTTTCTGTGTATGCGTCTATTGCCTGCATGTAGGTAAGTGCACCTGTGTCATTCAATGCCCGTGGAGAACAGAAGAGGCTGTCGGATCCCCTGGAACTGGAGTTACAGACAGTTGTTAGCTGCTCTGTGGGTGCTGGGATTCAAACCCGGGTCTTCTGCAAGAACAACCAGTGTTCTTAACCGCTGAGCCATCTCTCCAGCCCCTAGAGTTGATTTTTATATATTGGTCTTTTGTTGTTCAACCTTAAACTCATTTATTACCTCTAGTTGCCTTTTTTAGATTCTTTGTTAGGATGAGTCTAAGTAGACTTGTTTTCTGATCTCATTTTTTTGTTTGTTTGGTTTTTTTTTTTAATAATTTGAAATAAGTTATCTTTTAAAAAAAATATTTATTTTTTATGTGTGTGAGTATATTGCCTGCCCATGTATGTGAGTGCACCCGTGTTGTGCAGTGCTACGGAGGTCAGAAGAGGGCTCCGGATTCCCCTGGAACTGGAGTTAAGGATGGTTCATAGCTATCATGTGGGTGCTGGGAATTGAACCCGGGTCCTCTGCAAGAGCAGTCGGTGCCCTTAACTGCTGAGCCATCTCTCCAGCCACCTGTTTGTTTTTTTAGCCCCACTCATAGCACATAGCTTCTGGGGTCTCTGTTGAATGTCCCAGGTATTCAACAAAAATTCCTTCACTGTCCATGGTTGAAATTCAGATCCCCACCCGCCACCTTTGCAAGAACTTTGGCAGTAGTTGTTTCTTTACTTTTGTGCAGGCTCACTATATTCATGTTCACAGTTTAGAACTTAACCATGTTTGGGGGATCCCTCTGACATCTTTCTTCATGTGGTTTCCTAGCTGTTACTGGCTCTCCACTTTCTGACCTCTGTTCAGTAAGATCACCAAGCTTTTTTTTGTTTCTTTTTGAAACAGGGTCTCCCTGTGGTCTCAGCTAGCCTGGAACTTGCCATATAGTCCTGGCTAACCTCAATCTCATAGAGAGCTGCCTGCATCGGCCTCCCCTGTGCTGGGATTAAAGGCCTGTACCACCACACCCAGCTAAGATCACCGTGCTTTTTCTGAGATTCCCTTCTTTTGTACTCCAGGCAGAAGCACAGTTTACAATGTTTGCCTTTCTTTCCCTCCTCTCAGAGATTATAGTCTTTGCTACCTGCTGTGTAATGGCTACAGTTGTTTGTTATATTTTATATAGTTTAGCAGCTATGGTGGCAGAACCTGTCCAGCAGTAGCTTATTGTGGTTGAATATTGTGCTTAACACATTGTACTGCTTTTAGCTCCATAGTTCAGTTCAGTTAAGTAACAGCTACCATGCTACATATTTATTGGGAGGATCAATGCATTGTAAGCAAGTAGCAGTGTGTAGCCTGTTGGAATATATATAGTAATTTTATGGGAATGACTGTTTTTCCTTATTCTTTTTTATGGTGCTCAGGATTGAACTCTGGTCCCTTTCATATGCTAGGCAGGTGCTTTCTTTACCACTGAGCTACACCTCCAGCCTGGAAAATGACTTTAAAATTTTTATTTGAAATAAAGAATGTCATTTTGACAGCATATTAATTTACTAAACAAAAACTAAATATCCATGTCCTATTGTACTTGTGCTATGCCTGTCTCCTTTAGGCTAGTTACTGGATATCCTTGTTATAAAGACTTTTTTTCCCTGCATTTCTTTTTAAATCCTATGGTAGCAACACTGTTAAATGATGGAACAGTTATTTGGATTGGGCTAATCTCAGGTTTTAGATACAAGCCAGCATGCCTCACTACATATTCATGCACCACACGCTTGGCTTTTATTGTAAAATAACCTGCAATGTAGGCTTTCTGTCTGACCCTTTAAACATCAGATAAATGACTGGCTTAGGTGACTTTTAAATGCCCTTCAACCTTGAGATTCTATTATCCTTGAGCAAATTAAGTTTCAGCAATGTCATGAGTGCCATCTTAATAGCATGTGTTATCTCAGAAGAAAAACTGTCTTTGTCTTTGAGAAGCTCAGCATTTCATTGGTGAGATAATACCTTAGCGTATTGTTAAAAATTGTAGGTGACTAATTGCAGAGTGAACAGCACATACCTTGGGTGGATGCCTGAGCTGTGAAGTCAAAAAGAGACAATGTGACAGAAGTAGACCGAGAGGGAGTGTGTCTCTATGCCCGTGTGGAGTTGTCAGTGAGAGAAACCACTGAAACAGGACAAAGGGGAGCCGTTCACCGGGAAGGAATGTCAGTGAGGAGCTCAGCCTGGCAGAAATAAAAAGCTGTTTGGTCTTGTTTTTAAAATGCATAGCTAAGTTATGAACTACAGCAATTTCCCCACTGTGGCATTTCTTTCAGCAGGTCTCAGCCTGGTGGCAGCATTGGCTGCCTAGATTTGGCAGGCCCAGGTTTGTGTCACCAAGATGCCACTGGGAATTATGTCTTAATGTCACAGTAGAGTAAAACTTTTTCATGGAAAAATCCTCATCCATACTTTGAGACATGCCTGGTTTGCTGTCTGAGATCTGTCATTTTGGAGTTGCTGCTGTTGGAGAAATTCTTTTGAATGCTGTACCTCCTCACTGTCTGAGTCCAGTAGATTCTAGTCTTTTGTTTGTGTTTAGCTTGTTAGGATCAAGGAGGCATTGAGGTTGAGACTGTCTTGCTGTGTGATACTAAAATCTGGACACAGTTTTCCATGAGGCCCTTTAATTTTTATCTGGTGTTAGAACAATTCAGAACACACTGATTTTTGTTTAATATCATTCAAGTAAAATCAAATGTACATATATCAGAAAAAATTTTTAATTTTCTGTAAAATCATAAAACGTCATTTCTTTCTGGTGACTGTTACCTATATACGTTATAGAGTATTTCTAAGGCATAATTTGTAATAACAAATATGAAATGTGTATAAAGATTCATCTGCAAGCACAAAAATCCTACGTATTGAATTTGTCATAGTTTCTCCTTATGAAGTCATACAGCTGTATATATTACATCCTTTTGTTTGATTAATCATTTTGTTTGATGACTGCCATATGAAAAACTTTATGTGTAAGTCTTTATTCAAATTTTCTAAAATCAGTGTTTAAAAATACTCAGTAAGCGTGCTCAAGCCCTTGCTATGTATGTTCTTTGTCTGTACCCGTTTATTTTTGAGGCTGACTGAGAGTGTTCATTTGAAAGAGGAGAGAGAGCCCCAGATCAGAAATGGGGTGGGGGAGACACATCAGTAACTCCACTTGGGGACAAAGTTGAATGTGAGTGTATGAAAATTGTTCCATAACATAGCTTTAAGTTTTTACCAGGTAAAACTTAAGATGTGACTTGTACTGATTAATCACAAATACTGTAATAGATTACTTAAAATATTTGATCCCTAGAGAAACTAAGGAAAAAGAATGTATGGGTATTTTTCTGCTTGCTTTCTGATCACCCTACTATTGATCAGTGTAGGACCATTTTTGTAGCTAATTTGGTATTTTTCTTGAACTTCCTAAAGGCGTGGTCAGAACTGTTGAGATTATATACGATGATTTTTTTTTTATGATGGATTGTTTTTAATTGAGGAATAATGGGGTGGGTGTGGAATTGAACCAAAGGAAGTTCAGTCTCTAAGAAGAATAACATAAGATTTTCTTTGCCTTTCATCTCATTAATGTGAATTTTATTCTTTTCAAAAAAGCAACATTTGGCCTTCAGGATATACTCTGTAATATGTGTTTTACTGGAAAAAAATTTAAATGATTTTTCAGAGCTACTGGTGCTGTCAAAATAGCACATGTACTTCTATGGCTGTGTCACCTTTTCTTGGTTCGTTTTTGACAGATAAAATAACGCAAGAAGATATTGAAGGCATTCTACAGAAATTTACTGGGAATATAATGCAAGTACCTCCACTGTAAGTTCAGTTGTTAAATGTGAATAAATGTTTAATTTTATCATCTATTGATTAACATCACTATATTAAAATGGGTGCTTTTTTTTTTTTTGGCCATGTGTTAAAGAGTTTAAATTTGTCATTGAAAATGATCAAAAAGTAGGCTGAATTCAGCCTGGATAAAGCTTTTGACCCTAAGAAGACAGTAGAGGTGGTCTCCTCTGTCCTGGATATTAATGTGTCCTTGTATCTGTACATCCTGTTTTTTAAAATATAATTTTAATTGAATTTTTGTGCATTTCATACATAAAGTCATCTTTATACCCCTATCCCCCTTCCCTTTTGACACCCTCCTATAGTCCCCCACACACACTGGAGTTTCATACATTCTGTCGTTTGTATTAAAGCCTGTTATGTAAAGTTAGTGTCTCAAGATGTCCCTCAGTGCCAGTTCATCCACTGAGCCTATCTAGAGTCTCTCTCTTCCAGAAACCTGCTCTTCCTCACCCAGCAGTAATCAACTGCCAGTAATTCTTTGACTAATATTGGGACTTGCTGTTCATTTCCACAGTTCTGTGCTGAGTTTTTGTTTGCCTAAGTTTGCATGGGTCTTGTGCTGACACCATTGCTGTAGGTTTGAATGAGAAAGGTCCCTGGCACTTGTAGGACTTTTTCCATGTGGTCCTATACCTCTTCCCTGGCTCTTAGAATCTTCCTCGCCCTCTCTTCTGAAATGGTCCCTGAGCCCTGGATGGATGGACCTCAATATAGGAGACCTGTCCAAGGACCCACACTCTACTGAGTCTTATCTTTGCGTTTTGGCTATTTGTGGCCTTTTGTGTTCCTGGCCCTCTGTTGCATGAGGGAGCTTCATCCCTTGTTCTATGTTCTAGAGTCTTAGGTGAGAGGTTGCATCCTAAATGTGCCACTTAGGCTTGGGCAATTTACAGAGAATCTCTGTATGTGACCAGTGGTGTAACTTTGTAATAATCTCTGTCTGTTGAAAAAGAAGCTGCTTTGATCAGTGGTGACTGGGATACTTGTCTGTAAATTTAAGGATCCATATTTTGCACATAATAAGGAATTATATTTGTCTAGGGATATGAGAGCCTTGAGTTTTCTCTAAGATCTATGTCCTCTCTAGCTATGTGTATTTGGCTAAGTTTACAGTACCACACATGAGTTTCCTCCATTTGGTGGGCTTTAAGTCCAATTAGGGAGCTGTTAATTACCCCTAAGATAAAAATGCTACTACTGCACCAATATTGCTTGCTGTGCTGGTCATTGATGTGGTTTTTAGGCCTTGAAGCTGGAATTGGACCATCAATTGATGTTCTCCCTTAGCAGCTTGGGTAGTGCTTTCCAAGCTATGAGAGCTAGCCTTCAAGGGAGGTAGCTTCCAACTCAGTTCCAGTCCGTTGCTCCAAATCCTGTGTCCAAAGCATGTCCTGTTTCCAGCAATAGGGTCTTACCATCAAGTTGGGGGAGGCAATCAAGGACTGTGGCAATAGCCTGTGTAATTTTGGGAGTCTCTTGGACTCCCTGGCCAACAACTCAAAAGAAGGTTTCTCCTGTCTGGTACTGTTGTCTTGTTATGTGGTCTTTAGCTATACTCACAGACTCATGTAGAGATGTTGTATGTGTAATTTTTCTGTAGGCTTATGGACTAACACAGTTCCCTCTGGTTTTTTAAACTAGCTAGGCACTATTTTTCTCTCCTCTTTCTCTCCCTGCCTTATCCTCCCTCCCCACGCTTCCAATTTAAAGTGTCCCCATTTTCCCCAGTTCTCCCTTGATAATTTTTGTGTACTGTGGTCCCATCTCTTTTGATCTCCTTCTTCCCCTTTATTCCTATAGTTCTTTGTGTAGCCCTCCTTCTGCCCCTCCCCTTTAACTTACCCTACCTCCCCCTTCTTTTTTACTCATTTCTCCCTTAGTAATACCTGTCTCCTACTATTCTTTTCTCTCTTGTTCCTTCTCTCCCTTTATCTCCCTGGTTTCCTTCCACTTTCCTGGTTCTTGCAGTTACATCAGGATATGTACCCACTTACAAGGATTTGGTGCTAGGATCCACAAATGGAGAACATATGTCTTTTGTTTTTCTGAGTCTGTGTTACTTCACTTAGTATAACAGTTTCTAGATCAATCCATTTACCTGCAAATTTCCTTATTTCATCTTTCTTTACTGCTGAGTAGAATTCTGTTATGTAAATGTACCACATTTTCGTTAACTCCTCCTTAGTTGAGAGGCACTTAGGTTGCTTCCATCCAGCTATTGTGAAAAGAGCATCAACAAACATGGGTGTACAAGTGTCTCTGAAATAGGATGAGTCCTTTAGGTATATGCCAAGGAATACTATAACTGGGTTATATGGTGGGTTCATTTTAAGTTTTTTAAGAATCCACACTGCTTTCCAACGAGCTTGCAATCCCACCAGCAGTGAATGAGTGTTCCCCTTTCTCCATATCCTCACCAGCATTTGGTATCTATCATTTGTTCTCTTGATCTTAGCCAGTCTGACTGGGGTAAGGTAAAATCTTAAGGTGGTTTTAATTTGCATTTCCCTAATTACTAACAATGTTGAACACTTTTTAAGATGTTCCTTAGTCATCTTTATTTCTGCCTTTGAGAACTCTCTGTTTAGATCTTTAGACCGTCTTTTAATTGAGTCATTTGCTTTCTTCTTTGTTTTTTGAGTTCTTTATATTTTCTGGATATTAAACCTCTGTCAGATGTGTCACTGCTGAAGATTTTTTCCTACTCTGTGGGTTTTCTCTTGACTTTCTAGATTGTTTCTTTTGCTGTTCAGAAGCCTTTTAGTTTAATGAGGTCCCACTTGTTGATTCTTGACCTTAATTCCTGAGCAATTGATGTCAGGTTTAGAAAGTCTTTCCTACCTATATCTTGTAGGTTATTACCAATGTTTTCTTCTAATAGTTTTAGAGTTCCCAGTTTCACATTGAGGTCTTTGATCCATTTGGAGTTGACTTTTGTGCAAGGTGAGAGATAAGGATCTAGTTTCATTCTTCTATAGGTGGAGATCCAGTGTTGCCAGCACCATTTGTTGAAAATGCTGTCTTTCCTCCATTGTGTGTTCTTGGCACCTTTGTCAAATATCAGATGACTGAAATTGCATGTACTGAAGTTTGGGTCTTCAATGATGTTCCATTGATCTGTATATCTATTTTTGTGCCAGTACCACGCTGTTTTTATTACTATAGTTGTGTAGTACAGTTTGAGATCTGATATAGTAATCCCCCCAGTGTTGCTCTTTATGCTCAGAGTTGCTTTGGCTATCTAGGGACTTTTGTGCTTTAATATGAATTTGAGGATGGTTTTTCTAATTCTGTGAAATATGTCATGGGGATTTTGGTTGGCATTGCATTGAATCTTTATATTGCTTTTGGTAAGATGGTCATTTTCACAATATTAATTCTTCCAATCCATGAGCATGGGAGGTCCTTCCATCTTCTGATGTCTTCCTCAATCTCTTTCTTTAAAGATTTAAAATTTTCATTGTAGAGATTTTTAATGTCTTTGATCAGGTTATTTCCAAGATTTTTTTTTTCCTACTATTGTGAATGGGAGGGTTTCCCTGTGCTCTTTCTCCAGTTGCTTGTTATTGGTATATAGAAAGGCTGCTGATTTTTGTAGATTAATTTTGTAACCTGCCCTACCATTTTACTGAAAGTGATCAGTTCCAAGAGTTTTTGGTAAAATTTTTGGGATCTCTTAGGTATAGTATCATATCATCTGCAAAAAGGGATAATTTGACCTCTTTTCTAATAGTACTCCTTTAATTTCCTTCTCCTGTCTTACTGCTCTAGCAAGAGTTTCAAGCACTATATTGAAAAGGAGTGGAGATAGTGGACATCCTTGTCTGGTTCCTGATTTTAATGGGAATGCTTCCAGGTTTTTTTCCATTTAAAATGATGTTGGCTGTGGGTTTGTTGCATGCTGAATTTTGTCAAAAGCTGTTTCTACATCTACTGAGATGACAATGTGGTTTTTGTCTTTGAGTCCATTTTTATATGATTTATGACATTTATTGGCTTGCATATATTGAACCATCCCTGCATCTCTGGAATAAAGCCTACTTGGTCATGGTCTGATCTTTTTGATGTATGTCTATATGTAGTTTGCAAGTATTTTATTGAGAATTTTTGCATCTATATTCATTAAAGATATGGGTCTATAGTTTTCTTGTTTGGTTGTGTCTTTACCTGGTTTTGGTATTAGAGTGATGCTGGCTTCATTGAACGAATTTGGGGATTTTCCCTGTGTTTCTTCTATCTTTTTTAATAATTTAAGTAGTATTGGTTGGAGGCCTTCTTTAAATGTCTACTGTAAATCCATCTGGGCCTGGGCTTTTTGTTCGTCAGGAGTTTTTGTATTACTGTTTCAATTTCCTTATATGTTATGGATCTGTTTGTAAACTGTTGATCTCTTCTTGTTTTAATTTTGGTGGTTCCATGATTTTAGATATCTATCCATTTCTTTTAGGTTTTCAAATTTAATAGAATAAAGTTTTTTAAAGTATTCATTATAATGGTCTGGATCTTTTGGTTGTCTGTTGTGATGTTTCCCCTTTCATCTCTGATTTTATTGATTTGGATTTGCTCTTTCTTTCTTTTGGTTAACTTGGCTAAGGGTCTGTCTATCTTTTTTAGCTTTTCAAAGAACCAGCTCTTAGATTCATTGATTCTTTGTATTGTTTTATTTGTTTTTATTTCATTAATTTCTGCTCTGATTTTTTTAAAAACATTTTTTATTTATTTTTATTTTATGTGCCTGTGTATACTGCCTGCATGTAGGTAAGTGCACCGTGGAGGACAGAAGAGGCTGTCGGATCCCCTGGAACTGGAGTTAGGACAGTTGTTAGCTGCCGTGTGGGTGCTGGGATTCGAACCCGGGTCTTCTGCAAGAACAACCAGTGTTCTTAATCACTGAGCTATCTCTCTAGCCCCTCTGCTCTGATTTTTGTTATTTCTTCTCTTCTGCTGGGTTTGGGTTTTATTTGTTCTTGCCTTTCCGGAGTCTGAGTTGCAATGTTAAGTCACTGATTTGTGCTCTTTCTGATTTTTTTAATGTAGATACTGAGAGCTATAAACTTGCCTCTTAGGACTGCTTTTAACTTGTCCCAGAAGTTTTGTTGTGTTGTATTGTCCTTTTCATTGAATTCCAGGAATTCTTTTATTTCTTTCTTAGTTTCTCCTCATCGTTTAGGAGTGTGTTGTTTAATCACCATTGCATCCTATAGTGACTAGGGCTTTGTCCAGTGTTGATTTTGAGCTTTGTTGCATTGTGGTCTGATAGAAGCATGGAATTATTTCACCTTTTTTTTGTATTTGTTGAAGTTTGTTTTGTGCCCCAGTATGTGGTCAATTTTTGAAAAAGTTCCATGGGGTGCTGAATAGAAAGTGTTCTTTGGTGCTTGGGTAGAATATTCAGAAGATGTCTGTTAGGTCCATTTGATGTATGGTATCATTGAATTCAGACGTGTCTCTGTTTATTCTTTGTCCAGTTGACCTGTCCAGTGGAGACAGTGGGGTATTGAAGTCCACTGTTATTACTGAGTTGGGGGTTAATCTATGTCTTAAAGTCCTGTGGTGTTGTTTTTATGAATTTGGGTGCACCAGAGTTTGGTGCATATATGTTAAGGAGTGTAC